AGCACGTATAATTGTCAGCCCTTTTTGTCAGGGTTGGCAAAAGCAAATGGGATTGCTCTCACTCTTCCTGGTAAAGAGAGTTGCATGCGTGCCAGCCCATGTACTTCAACTTCTTTATGTTCAATTCATTCTTGCCGTAGGCCTCCTCCATGCGCTCCATACCAAGGCCCTGACAAACAGCAGTTGCATGAAATCCAAAGAAAAGGTAAAGTGAGCGAATTGCTTGATAGTTAAACCCCTGTTTTGGTTGCAATGAAAATCCCAGCTATGTATAACAGCCTCTTCTTTTATAGGATGAAGCACGATATATACACAATGTTGTTATGTAAGGGTATCTTTCAACATTTCCATTGAGCAAACCTGGGCTTGCAGCAAGCAACATGTAAAGAAAACGGGCTGTTGGGGGGCCAACATCGTGAGCCCATATATGGTCAAGTCTGTGGCCAACCCCGGGCCTGTACATTCTATCTTTCAGGGAAGACCAGTCCCTGAGAACAAGAAGCAACCCAAGTTCGCAAACCCCAGTTTAGAAACCGGTTTCTTTATGAACAAACGTGGGGTGAAAGTACGCAATTGTGACCCTTCATCAAAGAGACCCAATTCAGACTAGTCACCGCCAGCTCAGCGCACTTCACTGCCACCACCACTTTCTGCGCAGGGGTTGCCCAACAACTGTTGAAGGAGAAGTGATGGGTATCCTTGGCCTCCCCTCGCACCCTCACGCCGCACGCGCCCCGCGTCCAGTAGATAATGAGCTTGACCCGCAAGAACGGGTGGAGCTGAGAGCGAATGTTGTCCTTGAACTTCCGGTTTTTTACGTTCACCTCTGGTTTGATCTGCGCAACAAACTCATTGAGGGTCTCTTGCATCTTCTCGTCCCAAAGCAGGTCATCCTCATAGTCGATGGTTGGCTTCTTGGCTTTCTTTTTGGCCTGCCCCTTTGCTTTGGCTTTTGGCTTCGCCTTTGCGTTCGCTGAGTCATCCAAAGGCTTGTTTGCTTTGGCTCTGCCCTTTTTGTTTGGCTTCACCTGCTCCATGGAAACCTCAACTGGCGCCTCGCTGCTGCTGGCGTCGCATTGCCTTGCAAGCGTGGGTTTCTTGGGGCTCTCACGCGTAGATGCAGCCTCCTGAAGGATCTTTCGCTTACGGTTTTTTTTGCCCGAAGCCAAGCTGTTGCTTGAACTGCTCTTCTTTTTCTTCCGCGTTGCCGGCTTTTCTGCCACGACGCCCTCTTGCGCCGTCTTCTCAGCTTTCTTCTTCCGTGCCTCTTTCTTGCCTGCCCTCATTTGCAACTGGTCGTTGCGTGTGAGCAGTGTGTCCAACTCGTCGGTGGCAGGTTTCTTCTCATTCGCGGGGTTGCTCGAAGTAGGTGTCTCCTGTATATACAGCTGGCGCTGGTTAAAAACCAGTTCAAGTCGTTTAATGCAAACTGGGTCGGGGAGATGCAGCCACACGGCTGAACCAACATTGAAACCAATTGTAACATTTGGGCAGGGTCAACTATATAGCTGGTTGTCCAGGGCTTCGTTGCTAAACCATTGCTTACACACCCTCCCCATTCAAGCTGGTTCTCCTTTGCAGCAATGCTTGTGCTTTGGGCTGACGGTGAACCACCATAGGCCTCGGTGGCTGAGTTCTTGGCAACCTGGTATTGGGCTCGTCGGGCCGCAGCTGATAAGTCTGGGGACGTAGAAGGAGGGAGCGGCTGTGTGGGTGGCACGGCCATAATGTCAACGGCTTGGGTCTCCAGATTGTCGGTCGACTCTTTCACAGGGGACTTCTCCGGCAAAGAAACTCCTCCGACAAAGCAAGGTCAACTATATGGAAACCCCTTTGTGTTCCAGTTTGCTTTGGCTCATATACTGAGCCACTCAAATTCATCACGGTCAAAAAAAAAACTAGATCTCCTATCGGGGAAGGTGTGGTGCTCGATGTGAGCTTCTCCTCAATCACCCGTTTCTTTTCTTGAAGCCTCAGTTATTGTCAAGTTGTTCACCTTCAGGAAAGGTTGTTGTTTGCAAAAAGTAAACAAAAGGTCATGGGAAAAATCCGTGACTCAATTCGGTTAGGTAGCAACTTCAAACGCTCCCGTGCCAAAGCCAATTTCTGCGCGGCCCCCTCTTCCGTGGTGGCTGCTCCTGCGTGCTATAAACTCAGAGCTCTTACACGTTTGTCCGTATAGTTTCGGGCCAATGGAGGCTCCATGCAAGTATATATATCCATAAAAGGTACCAACAACAGTTCAAATCACCACGGGTGTGAAGTCCAAAATCACCCCCTCGATCCACAGCTGCCCCAAGCACTCCTGCAGCGCTGATGCCAGGCGAGATTTGCTGATGCAGCTGGTCAGGACTGGCTGCTGGCTGCTCCGTGGGCATGTTCGGGGCCGGGGGATTCAGGGTTGCAACCTCGTTTTTTGCGGGAGCCCGTGCACCAACACTGTCAGGAATTTCCTTGCCCTGGGGGATGTCCTGGCCCTGAATCTCAGTTTCTTTATCCCCAATATCCTTATCTTCTTCATCTTCCTCTTCCTCTTCCTCTTCGTCTTCCTCGTCGTATGCGTCGGGGTTCTCGTCAAGCTCACCACTGCCCTTACGTAGAAACAGGGTTGTGACACATGATCTGTTTTGGATGATCTGGATTATATAGGGTTTCAAGAGAAAAACCCATCCAGGAAAATGTTGCTGAACAGACTAACGGTGCCTTCTTTTTGCGCTCTGCGATGCGCTTGTTGACTTGGTCCACCTCATCCTGAAAGGGGCCACTCAGCAATGCTGCCGTGGAACCCACCCGGGGAAAAAAACAAATCACAGCTTTTATGTAGACCCCTCATGGTCGACATGAAAGGTGCTTCCTCCAGCATCGGGTTCAAAATCAAGCAGAGCTTCTGAAACTCGGGTACCTTACCAAACACATGTGCGATTCGAAGTTCCGGCCCATCCCTCACAAACAACATGCATATAGCCAAACAAACGGATATATACACACGGTTAAATATGTTTGCACGCTTGATGGAATTGAAGGAAGCTGATTTGCCGTTCCCACCCAAACATTGGCTTGGTCGCCTGAGAGTTGCCATACAAAAACGACACATGAAGATCAAGCAAGTGGCAATGGACACTTTGCGAAGCCTGGTTTTGATTTTGACCAGACTGCAAAACCGACGAATCATCCAGCTATCTGTGATCACCTGCTCTTCGCAAGCGGCAATGTTGTTGCACCGTTTGTAAAGCTTGGTGATTTCAGCACGGAGTGGATCCACCGGTGGTTGGGGATGTCCAGGTGTCTCTGCAGTTCTAAGAAGAACAACCGTGAGCAAAGCGCTGATGTGACCATAGGAGGCCGTTTTTACTGATTCCCCCAAATCCTTCTGGAAGAGCACCGCATTCTCCTGCCTCAAGTGCTCGCGGATGGAAGCCTGCTGTTCCCACTCGTTAGACAGTCCTGCGCAGTCCAACTTGGGCTTGTCTTTGCCCCCTTTCTCATTGCTCGGGTCCATCGCAGCCAAGAAACTACGGCAACTTCAGGGCCCAAAATGGGCCAAGATCCAAAACGGCTAGTGTTCACATCTGTCTGTGCTGACTGGTGCTTGCACACAAGTCCGGAGCATGCAGTGTCACTGTTGCTCCGCAAGCCCAAGCGTGCAGGACCCGCGCCTCGTACGGTGAGCTCTCTCATCACTCGGAAAAAGGTCTCATGGCTGCCGCCCGGGGTGGCTCTCTACATTATTCTTTGTTTTTGTTATATAATTTGTTGTGGTTTGGGTCATCCAATTTCAAATCAAACTTGTTGGTTCTCCACGGGGGGAGGGTTGTGACAACCCATGGGGGTTGTTGAGAAGGCAAGCGCATGTAAGCGCTTGTGAAGTTGCTTGTTCATGCAGCTGTGCATGCCCCAACGTGTTTGTTGCCAGCGGCTCCCCATGAGCCCAATCGGCGAGGGCAATGTCTGCCTGCAGCAAGCGGTCACTGGGGCAACATCCCTGTTAGTGGGGGTCCTTGTAGAAAACACAGTGTTTTTCAAGCAAATACAATACTTTGGTCAGGCCCCTATCAAAACACAGTTCTTTCCCAGGGGTACTGCAAATTCTCAGTATCTAGGCTCTCATGGTAACAAGACCTTTGTTGTTGGTATCCACTTTCAGTTCAGTGGGATGCTTGCGCTTGAGCAGTGCCTCTTCAGTTCATTTGGCTGTGCAGCGGCCGAAGCCCATTTTCGTTCTAAGAACATGGCTATGTCAAGATCGGGGGACCCTCAAAATGGTGGTTTTCCATTTAGTCTCCCTTTGAACCAACCTGAACAGGGCACCAACTCCGAAAACACACGCACACACACACACACTCAGGCCTTGCCATGATCCCCAATCAGCCATCGATACGAGAGCTTCTTAACATGGCCCTCGAATAGGGCGCTCTCCACGGCTCGAATTAGAATGGAGTTGCGCACCTCAAAACGAAATGTTCAGTCATGAATGTCATGATGATAAGAGCAATCGTTGTAGTAAGGGTACGCTCATTTGCAAACAGTAGCAAATCCATGTTCTAAAACTGAGAGCTCTGCCTCCACTGTTGCCGTAAATGATGCCAAATGTATTTTTTCTACTATGAGGCTGACTCAATGTCCAACCCATACTTCCTGGCGAAGAATGTCAATCGCATAGAGAAAGGTTTGCCTCCTCGTACATTGTGACGGTTTCATCAGGAGCCCTCGGAGTTGTTGACTTGCTATGACTTACTCTCTGTTCATCGCGATTCCCGACAATGATTTCTGGTGATTCATTGATCAGATATAGCAGGCAAGCAAGGGGTTTTCCACCCTTTCAAACCCCACAAGGCAGATGGCCGGTTACGAAACCAAACCAAAAAGGCTTGCCTGGGATCTGTTGGGCTTGGGCTTCCCATAGCCAAGCTTGAGACGGACCCCCCGCGCAAAGCTTTCAGAACTGAGAGCCCCTTCTAAGGTTCTAAGAGAGGGGGGTCTCATCCCTCGCTTGCACTCAGGCGGGCGGCGCCAGACGCCCGGCGGCGCGCGCGCGGGCGCCAAGCTTCCTGATGTCATCATCTGGGAATATGACATTCCTTTTGGAACGCCGGAGCGCTTCCATGTTTATTGGATCGCCCCCACAAAACGCGTTGATTGGGGCAGGAGATTCCGACCCGAGCTGTCCAATAGCACGTCATTCCTTTGGAAGGGGGAAAAACTAGAAAATGATTTGGAGGCTATCCCCTCCTACCCCCGGTGGTGGGGCTGTCGGCTTCCTACACACGTTCCCTATTGGGTGAACAATATGATTTGGGGACTTCTGATTGATGTTCCAAATAGCCCGGGCTCTCCCAAACCCCAGATGCAAAAACAGACTCTGAGGTTCCCCTGCTTTGCGGTGGAACGGACACGCGCATGAGTTGGAATCCACGGGAGGGAGACTGTCCAGTGCAGATTCGCTCATCGATTTTGGATATCTTGGCAGTTCCGAAGAGGCATCAACATGATCCCCCGCCCTCGCACTGAGAGGATCAGTGCAAGAAGGTGCCAATCTTCAAATGCGCAATGGGTTTGTAGATTTCAACCGGTTCCCGTAGAGGGAACATGGAAGCGAACCTTTCCGTACAAATACCGGTCATTGCCAGTTTCCCAAAAATCCGTGGCCCCAATTTTGGCTTCCCAAGTCATCGAACTCATGAGGAGTGGCCGATTCAATCGCCGATTTCCAATCGCCCTCGTTCCAAAATCTTCTCCGCCCCCTCCAAGAGCTTCACGCCCTGGGGGTTTTGTCGAGACGGGCCTCAGATTCGGTTTCTGCAACACCCCGTTTCGCAATCTGCGATGCTCTTCGGCCCTTTCCCAAATGGCTGTGGGTCAAAAATAGGTACCCAACATGGAACCTGGTAAATGAAACCAAGGACTAAAGCCTGCGGTCCCCTAGTTGTTTAATTTGGACCCAAACCCAAGGTGTGCTTTCTTGGCCTTTCATGCGAGCTGCCGAGCTGTTTGCAAACGTTCATGAGTTGTGGCCAAAATCCACGTCGCGGACGCGGAAGTGGGCCTTTGTAGAATTGGAATCCTCCTGCCTCATTTGAGATGCATTTCATGCCCGGACGATCAAGCATGATTGAGGGTAATTTGAGCAACGGATGGCAAGCTTGCCGATGTGGGGGTCGTCCTTGATTGTTTTTTGCTGATGAGCTTATGCCTGGTTGGTTTATAGGTGTGAAACATTGTACAGGGGATGCCTGGCAATATGGCAAGTAGGGGACGAGCAAAGTGTCCGTAATATCATGGGCGAGCTGATGACTAACATGTTTTCCATGATCATGAATCGCGAGTTGTATAATTTGTTGTGCTGCTTTTGTCAAATGCACACCCATTCCAATAGTTAAATAGTTTGGCCTTTTTGGCAGGTAGCCGCAACTGACCAGACCAGGGTTGTGGTTGTGGAGAAGAGGACGCGGAATGGGGCGAGGAGGGGCAACTACGAGCAGGTTACTCCTTGCCCATCTGCCTGGCGATTGGGCCCAGCCCTGTTTCTGCCCTGCGCAAGGGTGCTCCTTGCCCATCTGGCTACTTGGAGCTGTGGCGAGTGGTTGCCACACCGGGTGAGGCGAGGCCCTTGCGAGTCGCCTTACCCCTTGGGCCCTGCCCTTGCCGGAGGGTCAGCTATTCTAAGTAAGCTTTTTCTTGGCCCAGCCGGCCCGGTGCCACAAGTCCACGCGCAACAGCTGCCCGCGCTTGCAACGGCCACACGTCCGTGCGGGTGAGGCTGTCTTTGTTGGGTATCCTCCTACCCAAGCATCCTCGAAAAAGGTCGCTGTAGGGAGCTGGTAGCAACATTCCCAGCCCCTTCAAAGTGACATTGGGGGTTCCTCTGGAATTTCATTTCGGGTTCCATGTCCCTTTTGTGGGGAAGACTGAACCCTCCCCTTGAGGTAGGGGAGCTGGTGACCAGCGGCTTCCCACCGAGCCTGAGGCCGCTGCAGGTTCTGGATGTGGGCCTGGTGGAAGTCTTCTGGAAGGCGGACATGTGGTGGAGCTTTGTCTTCCGAGGACCCGGGTTGGACAAAAAGTCGGGGGGCAGAGGTGGGCTGGTGTTTCCGTTTGCGAGCTCGGCCGGGGCAAAACAAGCTCACCAGGAAGTATCCGCGACACCTGGCTCAGGCCTCCTTCCTCTTTCAACTTGCAAGGGTGTTCCTTTATCCAAGGGCACTGGAAATCTGGGCTGCAGAGTCAAATCCTATAATCCTACGCCCGGACAAGTTGGTTGTAACATTGACCCTAAGTGCTAAGTGTCCATTTAGGGGGAGGGGGGAATGTGGCTGATTCCTGGGCCGAGCTGACAGAGCAGATCTTTCTCCTGGCCCACGACCCCGGTGCGCGGCAAGGGATTGCCCTTGGCATGCGAGCTTGGTCTCTTGCTGGCAGACTCTGGCGATGCGAGGGTGTTGTCCTCCTTTTTTTTTGCGAGGGCAAACTGCTGTTGAGGCCCACCTGCCTGCGCTGCGCAGCCCAGATTGCCACGTAAGGAAGACCCAGAATTCCATAACATAGCAAGAAAAGGAGCCACAAGCCATGTCAACTTGCAGGCGTTTCCTTTATACCTACTTGCAGTATTCGATTCACCGAATCGAGTTTGAATGGGGACCTGAGTCGGCTTAGCTTCGTGAGGCTTTTCATTTGTTTGTTTTCTGCAGGTGCACATGCAACCCGAAAACACGGTTCATAAAAAGGCGATGCCTCTAACGAGGGTTTTGCGCGTTCCGCGTGAGTATGCAGAAGTGTAGACCCATGGTTTTACCCTTTCGTTTTTTGGGTAGGGCCAAAGGGGATGCAAAGCACTTGATTGTGGAGGATGTCGGAAAAGAGAAACACACTGCAACACACAGGTACATGACAAAGAGAGGGACTCCTCCCCGCAAATAAACAACACCAATGAAGTATATATCTATGAACATAGATTGGACATGTGTTTAGATAGTACCGATTTGAATCAGACAACTGCTGAGGGAGCTATTATTGTTGTTTGTTTCCAGGGAAACGTCGAGCGGGACATGGTTGTCGCGAATTAGCAGATTATGGGCGGCCAACTGTTGACTTTCTCAAATGCTTGGCTCATGCACGAGCAATGACCTAAATGTTCGTGATAGGATCTATGTTTTCCCTCCGAACTCATATCTTTTTCAAACACGGCCCTTAGGTCGCATGGCTGGAACTGAAGAGGGGGGCATTGGACCCTGCTAGGAACTACCGGCCCTGGAACAGCTTCCCAAAGATCTCCCGCGGTTTGGGTTAGAGCCGGGCCATGAAAGCCCGATCAGCATGGCAGATGTTTGGAAGGTGGTTAGTCTTGGTCCATTAAATATACCGTCTAGATGGTGGTTTAATGGAACTGCCTCAAACATTAAAAGCAAGAAAGAGTCCCTCCCAGATTTGTCTTAATGATTTCCAGCTGAACGGCGGATGGGTGTCTTTGCGAGGTTACTGGCTTTTGGGATTGATTTAAAGCACCAGTACATCCGGGGCATTCCGCGGTTCACACATGACCCCAGACATACACAAACACTCGGCAAGATGTCACCTGTGGAGTTGTTTTTTTTTGGGACCTGCAACATTGAGGTCTCCGAACATGAAGCTTCCCAAAGCCCATACGAACGGAATTGCAAGCGGGGACCGTTTTTTAGTTTCAACCGGAGGTCAAGAAGCAAAACATGTCAGGCTGCCATACTCATGGTGCCCAGGCCAGTTTCCTTTCGTGAATTGTGGGCAATCATGGTAAATGGATTTGCCATCAGTTTGATGTTTATGTGTCAAACGCAGGGGCCAAACTTCTGGTATCATGATGGTGTTCCTTTGAGAAGGGCCAACCACGGGCCAATCTCATCTTAGGACACACAGCCACAGTGGAGATGCTCGCGGCCCTTCGGCCAACCATTCATTTTTGGGGAGAGAACCGTCTGGCCATCTGGGTGGTTTTCCAGTCGCGGCCACGTGTTGTTTTTGGTCGGTTCTGTTTGAGCCAAAGCTTTGGAGCCACAGAGACCTCGAAGCCCAAGTCATCTTGCCGAGGACTTGGCGTCATTCTCTGGTGGGAAGCGGGATGTAAGGCTCCGGTGACGACTGCCTGATGCCTGGATCCATTCGAATCGCGCAGGCGTTGCCCTTGTCTCACTTTTTGACTTTTTGAGTTGGCATGTGAAGTTATGGGTGAGCCCCATAAATGGAGAGGCTTGCCCCAAATAAAGGGAGCCTCTCCTCCAATACATGGTTCCTTGGGTAGGCAACACTCTATGGAGCGGGGCTTGACCTGAAGTTGTTTCCGACTTTGGGGTGGGGGTTTGGTAAGCGTGTTTTTTGGGCAAGAGCCCAATTAGTTCAACGTTTGGGCAGTAGTGTGCGATGACGTTGTTTTTGTTTTGTTGTTGTTGTTGCCCCTTTTAGAGTTCACCTGTTTGTGTTCTTAGTTACGTGTTGCCTGCTTGTCGTTTCACACTGTTCAAATGTCAACTCGTTGGAGGCAGGTTGTAACGAGCTGATCTAAGGGTAAAGCAAGCTTATCTATGTTGGCAGGTCCCTCACCCGGATTCCTCAATTCCAGTTGGTGAATTATCGTGATTTCATAAGCCTTGGACATTTCAAGACCTCTAGTGGCTCTAGTACGAGCAAGGCAGCATAGGGTTATGTGTCCCTACAGTGGAACAGCTGTCAGGGCAATGGTTGCCGGTTTCTACACGACCTGGTACTGGAAGTTGGAGCGCATGAAGCGATTTGTGGATGTATTCGAAGCGATTTGCAGCAGGTCAAAGGCCCATGCCACTGTCCACACCCAAGGCGTAGGCTACATGTTTCGTTGTTTTTTACTCACCCAAGGCAATGCCAAAAGCGGTACTGCTTTGTTTTTTGTTTGTATCAAGCAGCCGCCTTTCGAGCCGAGGTAGCTCCGCTCTTCCTGGCAGTGCTGCTCTTTTCCAACATGGCGACGACCTCATCTTTGCTTCAGCTCGGCAGATCTGAGGCTTCCAAAGACAGGTTATGTTTTCTTCTTGGCGTCTTTGGTTTGACCACGTGGCATTTAAGCATTTAGGCTTTGAGCAAATGTGCTATCTGCTATTCTGCTATGGTCACACCCTTTTGCTTGGGATACGCGGGGATGGTCATACCTTGTGGAATCTAAACAGCTATGGTTGGGAGTTCTTGGAAGGGAATCATGACGATGGCCCGCATAAGGAGCTTTGACCGATGGCACATATACGGTCTGATAACCTCCCGTTTGCTTAAGAAGAATTGTGATTTTCCCTTGTTGGTTTTAAAAGGAATTCATCACTTCTGGAAATATATGTTGCTTTTTTGTTTTTCCTTGGGCCTCAACCAAAGGGAAGACAAGTGTGCACCCTCGCCCTGAAGTTGCATCCAACTAGCCGCCTGAGCCGCCGGGTCTCAAGGCCATCCCATGAGGTTGACATACCCCCTCCAACTACCCACTTCTTCTAGGGTTTTTTTTGGAAAACCCGGTTTTTTAAAGGTAACCACCTCCGTTTCTAGTAGAGGGTCGACATGACACCCGAAAAAAGTTGGTATTTGGAGTCAGGGGTACTTTAGAGACGCTGCAGCTACCCTGTCGACAGTTGCCGTGACAGGCGAGGGCCCCGAAGTGTGCAGCATTTTGAGGAGCAGGTTGCGGATAGCAGCAGTACCAAGATCAGGACTATGTGGGTGTCCGATAAAGGGGACCGTTTTCGGGTTTGGCTTCAAATCAATCCAGAAGGGAAGCCAGACACAGTCAGGAGCCTCTTGTCTGTGGTTATAGCACCTGTTCGCACACCCCTTTTTGTCTCACCTTGGCGACTTGTTGTGAAAAGACTAGGGCTTTTTGCTCCACCTTGCGGCACCCTGATCTATTTGGGACCCATTTGCCTGAAGGTTTACCCCAGCAGTCTTTTCAACACATTGGCTGTGGCCGCCTGGGACTCTGGCTGCATGACCCAAGAATTGGTCTCGGGTGAGCGTTTCCAACCCTGATTTGTGCTTGATGTGAGCACCGTGTGTCCCCTTACAAACGAAATGGTAAGAAGTGGAGCCCAAATTTGAAGGAGAATGGGTTCTACCGGGGTTGTGCTACACGATTATTCTCACTGGTACTCCTGTCGGCGGTACCCTGGCAGCATTCACTGATGTGAGCATCACGTACACATACCCATGAGAGTGTGTCGAAGCGAGATCAATTCAAATGGAGGGTCCACCCAGGTTTCCCGCAACTACCCAATGTGCCCATTTCCTGTTGGGGAAGCATTCGCTTTTGTCCAGGGCTTGCAGGAGGATGTTGCTCTCCATTGCCTAATTCCTGAAAGATCAGATCGGCTCAATGCTTCTTGGCTTAGACTGTGAACAAATGAACCCACAATACTAACCTCGAATCTTATCCGCTGGCAAGGCCGTTGTGAGCCCAACTGTGGCCGTGGCAACATGTACATACCTTTTGTGTATGCATACATGATACAAGTCTATAATGGCTCTATGGCTCGACGTGCACATTCAGTCTATGATTGGTCAAACTATGGGGAAGTGCACATCGCCCAACCCTTCTGATCGCCTGCCGGCTTTCGCCGAAGCGGCCGGCCCGTGAGTGTCTTAGTCGCACCGGCCACGCGCAATTCGGCAAGACACGCGAGGTGTGCGGACCTACGTTGCTGAGGGAGCAGTACCGCAGCTACGAGGCGTTGATTGAACTCCAAAACCTCCAGTGGGTTGATGTTGATGTCTTGGAGTCTTGGGTCCCCTTTTCAATTCCCAAGAAGGTGCCCTGTTTGCAACCCATGGAAATCCGCAGTAACCCGGAGTCCGGAGAGAGATCATCGGGTCGATTGCCACCAATTTTGGAGTTGGGTCAAACTCCGGTGGGGGAGGGATGGCCCCTTGACACCCTGAGTGTGGCAACCATGGATTTTCTGGACGGACTAAAATACAATGGGGAAGAGCATCGGAATGTCTAAGTTGGTGGACAGCGGAAGGGGCACGGAAAGTGCACTTGAGGAGTCAGGAACACTTGGTATAGGTGTCCATTGTGTCCCATGGTTTCGGTGCCTGTTCCAAAAAATGGTAATCGCTTAGCAAGGCTGCCACTCCTTTTACTTTTGCGTGCCCCGAAGGGAAACATGATCTGGCAATGTCTGTGTGAAGATCGCTCGAGCCTTCCGTGGCTTCCTTCGGGAGAGCAAAGTAAAGCTCGTCCTTATGGACTCAATTGGACCTTTTTCTCTTTTGGACAACTCTCATGTAAGCGCCCAAAACCCCGCTGGCTTTTAGGGCGGGATTCCGTGAACAGCAGTTATTTAAGCACGTATTCCTGGTTCCCATACCACAGGGCAAGTGGGCAAAGCATTATCCGAAATGGACAGGTGCAAATCAAGGCACATGCCATCTTTTGCAAGGCTGATCTTTTGATTGAAAGCTTGAACTAGGTCCCCCAGTAGTGCCCTTTCTCACCCCTTTTTTGGGGGAGGGTTCCCCCACTGAAACAGACTACAGATAAAAGTTGGTACCCTTATTCTAACCTCTCTACTCGAGGACCTAGTGAATGTATGAATGCCTGTCCTCTATGAGCCTGTGTTTGATCTCAAGCTTATGGCTTGGGAACTCGAGACACAGCCAGGTTCAGCTGACGCTGGTCTGCCTGCTGATGATCCTGGCTGCCGCCTACGTGGAGTCGCAGGCGGCCGAAAACGAAAACGAAAAAGCTCGCGACCCGGGGAGTCTATTGGTCTGGGCGAATTATAACGACCTCAGACGACCGAATTCACCCCAAATGGGGGTTTATGTGGGGAAAAGCCCCCCAACCACCTTATTTCAGGTTGGTGAAATATTATAATTCACACAGATTGGTCTCGCCCCTCCCCCCCCCCCCCGGCCATTTCCCACAACTCCCAGGTCCCACTCTATTGGCGGTGCTCCTTTCGTGGCTAGTTTGGATGGGACAAGCAGAGGTAAGTTCACAGTTTGTCAAGGCTCTCGTCTACACTTTCGTGAGAATCAATGGCTTTCAATTGCGACCTGGCACTCAGGTGTTAGTCTGTTTGACTCAAATCCAACCATTTGTTGACTTTGTACCTTTCAGGAAGACCATGTCGACGGGAAGTAGCAGGTCAAACTAGTTGGCCAATCCGCTTAGAAACGAGCTGACTGTCAGCGCGACTCAAATAGATCCGGAGCGAGCTGGACGCTTCGCACGCCTCACGTTTTGCAGAGCTGTACGACAATACGAGTCTGTTGGGGACTGGCAATGGCAATGACCAGACCAAAGCCCATGTAAGAATTTGGAAACCTTCTGGCAAAAGTCACACATTTTCACAACTCAGCGAAGGGGTTCGGTGACATAATCTGACAATTGCCAGGGCCAAGCCTATTGTGATTGTTCAAGTGCAGTGGTCGAAGATGGAAGCTTCTCTCGCCAAAAAGCAAGTTGGATGGGAGTCTTTCGTTTACTTCTCGCCCCCCAGTTGGTTCCTGAGGACACCCGCTTGTGTGTGTGTGTGTGTATGTGAGTGTTTCTATCTCTTTGTTTTCTGTTGAGAGTAAAGGTACCCTTGTTTTTTTTTGGAAAGGGACAGCAAGGGGAAAGCACCCGTCTTCATTGGATTCGCCATTGTGCGACAAACCCGTTCGACCTTTGTGCAGATCTTCAACGGGAAGATGTCGATTCGGCCTGGCTCCCAGAGTGGAGAAACGATTGTGCGCGTGGCCGGGTTGTGCAGTGGCATGATTTGGGGCCAGCTTCCATTTCAAGCTCAAGCACCACAAAGGATGGGCCTTTTGTTTCGAAACGGGGTTGTTGTGGGCGACACGCTTTCCTCTTTTATATTTCACACCAGCATGTCGTTCCAGACTCCGAGCAGGAAAGACTTGTTAGCCAGGGAAGCTATGTATTATGACCATAGCATGCAACTGATTCCACATGAGTCTCCTTTAGTCTTTCTCTAAGAGCAATAGGAACCCCGACCTTATGAAAGATCACGCACCCCTTTGGTTTCCCTTTAAACCAGGAAACAGGGGGCAAGGCATCTCCGACGGAGACTCTGATTGCAAGTAATTTGGCGTTGCGCCAGCATCCCACATGGAATATAAAGTTGAGCCATCTGAGGCATGCCACGTGTGCTCGGCTGGATCCCATGTCAATCTGATTTCCATCAGGCGAAAAGGACAAAACATGGACCCCAGAGTCGGCCATAGACTTTGTGTTGTTTTTTTGGAGTTCAATTAGAGGGGCTCCCATATCCTTGGGTTTACCTTCCATATTCTTTCCAGGTATCCTTCTTTTTAGAAAGCCTCAAGAAACCCAGTCAAAACGACTGGTTTTTGAAGCGAGCGATGGTTAAAAAGAATGGGGAATCAAACCCTAGAATGATCTATGCCCCCAAAACTTCAATTTTTAGCAAGGCATCAACGAACCGCTAAGTTGAGTATGAGGTTTCGGGGTTTCCCACCGCCGGTTTGCGCTGGATTCCCCTCTCCCTTTTTTGAGTCGTGATAGTCATGTCCACGAAAGCCTTCACAAAACCAGCTGCCACCTGGGACAGGCCCCAAATAGTTCCAAGTTTCTCTCAGTTTTCCGGTGGCAGCCTTAAGGTCCCTGGTTGTTTGGCTTCCAAACTGAATTTTCAATCGAAACCCTCAAAGGACCGGTTTGTCTTTACCGGGGTCGCTGGGCAGGAAACCAGGCCAGACGTCGGTTGCTCTGGGTGAGTCCCTACGCATGGAAATTAACGAAGGAAGGAAACCAGAAGGGGGATATATGGGTGTGGTTCCTGTGTTCAAAAGGGAACCCCCCCTTTTGTTGTGTTGGCTGGGTTCCCCTGTTTCGAGACAACCCTATGTATGTTTGTGTCTCCTGCCTTTCCCGACATGTCCAAATCTTGTCTTTTGAGATACCCCATTTGGGTGTGGCTCAAAATTAAACCGGAGGGGCAAACCGGTTTTAGTCTTTGGTTCCACTTACCGATCGGGCAACCCATTTTGGAATTCCGGTTTGAGCCGCAGCCATTTGTTACGGTTTCCTTTCCAGGCCCGCCTTCTGACGAAGTTTTCGGCCACTTTTTCGAGGCTGGTGAACCTCCAGAACATTCAGACGCTCGGCTGCGGTAAGATTTTCGCGAGCTGAGAGATGCAGCCGGTCCCCTCACCGAGAAAGGAGAAAGACGTCCGGCAGGACAGTGTCGCTGCGCAGCTGGGTTAGCGACACCCAAACAAAAGACGGTATACTCCCCTGTTTCTCAGGGGCTCCATGTTGGAGGCGGTTGGGGAGGCCAAAGGAAGCCAACCATGTCAGAAGGAGTTCCTTTTGGTTCAGGGTACCCCGTTTCGTTGGTTTTGCGCTCAACAGCAGACCCCCTCAAGAAAGCCAAGCCTGCTTCAAGACCTACACCTAGCCACACCCATGACCTGAGCTGAGGAACGGAGAGGGCTGGGCCCGGACCTTGTGATGTGGCGTTTTGGCGGTCCATGGGGCTCCTGGGTGTGTGTGATGCTCGCGATGCGGGCTGGATCGTGTCTTTAAGCGCGGATTCTTTTGAGCCAAAGGGGCGTTTTGGCGTCCATTGTGGTGTTTTCTGGTGAGTTTCGGTTCGAGGCCAGCCGATTCAAAACAAAGCCCGTGTGAAGCAGGGAGTTGTAGGTTTTGAAAAACCGCCAGGTTGCAGAATTCTGGATTGGTCAACATGCTGGGAAAACGTTGACCCTAGACTCGTTTGCGCCAATCAACCAGCTGCTGTTTGGGCCCTGATGAGGGAATCCGATACTAGGTCTGTGCAGGTGGGCAGGTTTGTTTTTGGGAAAGCACCAAGAAAGCAAGCACATCAGGGGTAACCCCTTTGGATCAGTTTTTTTAAGCGAAGCCAAAAGGAGGCCAACCGCACCTTGGACTGTGCCACTTCTGCCAAACCAGGAGAGGGCTGTTCCCTAGCATGGGATCGTCCCTGAAAATAACTGTTTCATACCTTTCGGCTTTCTTTCTTGAAGCGCGGCGGCTTGACGAATGCTTGGCTGAAGGGAGAATGTCTGGATACCTATCCCAGTTTTCAGAGCCTCCGCCGAAAGGAAATCGCGGATGAGGCGATCACCTTCAGCATCATCGGGTTCTTCCTCGCCTTCGGGCCCCAACCTTGGATCGACGGGGAACATGTGCGGAGGGCGGCCAGTTTGGAACTGACATCCTTTTCGGGGTCCTCGTTAGAAGTTGTATTTGTGTTTTGGGAGTTGTTACCCTCTTCCTTTTCTCGTTCTTGAGTTGCCACTCTGTTGAGTTGTTTCTTTTTTTTTGTGGGGGGAGGGGAAGCCACAAGGAAGCCACTCATCTGTGGCAAGAACCGCTGCAAGGTATTACGGCTGGACTGTGATCCACCATCAGCTCTACTCTCGCGAGCGGTTTTGCTCGGATGCGCGCGGTTCTCGGATATCTTGGTTGTGAAATGGTCAGAGCGAGTGACGCCTCTGATTTCGATTGCCCTTCAGCTCACTCCTCGAGTTGGACGTTAAGCTTTTTGGGAAGACCATTTGGCTGTGGCTCAATAAAATGTACCCAAATGGCACCTTGGTAAATGGAACCAAAGACTAACACCGTACTAACACCTGCGTAGCCCTAGCTCTTTAATTTTGAGCTACACCCATTTTAGTGGCAAATAACAAGTTCAGACGGTTTTTTTGGGCCAATCCACTCGGGAAGTGAGTCAAGCAACCACCAGGGGCTGCTTAGACCAGGTGCTCGAGTCTGAACGGTACAGATGTCGATTTGTTTCAGACAATGCAGAATCCACGAAATGGATGGTTTTCGTTCGGCTTCTTTTTCAAGCAACCCCAAAGTTGCCCTCAAGAGTTACACACCCTTTAGAAATCATTAGCTAGTTTTTGGAGGACGAGAAGGGGCGGCCCTCCGCATCAGGAGCTCCCAGGCCCCGATTCTCAGCCTGGAAAGCACGGACTTTTGGAAGCCTTGCAGTTCAAAGAGATGGCATCTACAGATAGTCGAAAATTGGTGGCAAAATTACTTCCCGCCAACTAACATAGTTCAGTGCACACCAACTTTGAGAGAAAAGTGGTCTTTCGTCGCAGGGGCCACATGAAGGGCAGAGGGCCCCTTGTCTTGGCGCACACAACATTTGTGCGGTCCACCAGACCATCATGATGTTTGACGCACGGATTGGATCATGGACCTTGCGTCGATGGGGTTAGGCCTCAGGCCGGGATCGTTGTTCCATTGCCCTTTTAGTTTGGTCTCAGTGAAGAGGTTCCCTTTTTGCTTGGGCAGCCTTGAGATTCTTGAGATCCCATGCTTGGTGCATGGATCCATGGAGACCGGCACCGAAATGCATGCATGAGGTGCAGTCAAACCTTACCAGTCTGAATACGCCCAATGTTTCGGTTGGGACATTTCCCCAAGAAATGACCAAAGTGGGGGCTGTCTTTGTGCACGGCCAATTGATGGCTGTTTTAAACAGAAACCACACGGAATCCGATCCATTTGGAGTCACCCCCGGTTGCCCAGGTCACCCTTCGACTTCTACAGCAATGCCATGCTCGGGTACTCTTCAGCTGTGCCGGTCCGCTGACGATCACCACGTGTTGGGAAGAGAATCCCGGGGATTTGTTCTCCACGCGGGTTTGTTCGCAATTTATTTTTGAGGAAATCACAGGAGCTCAATCCATAAATGGAGGGAGTGTCTCGACCACACACGTGGGGGGTCCAAAGCTAGAGCCGTTGTTTTGTGTCTGTACAAGGGGCAAAGTCACGTGCCCATGTGCAAAAGAAATCAGCATGAGTGATTAACCATTCACAGTTGGTTCGGGGTCCAACTGTTTTTGACAGGCACACGTGCACACATGAGCAGCGGACGAAATCGTCAAGATATGAGTTTAGGATGAGCCCTAGCTCGTGTGGGGTGTTCAGGCTGTGATCAGCCCATGTGGCGCAGGTCTTGTGACTGATCCCGCGGCAGGTCTTGTCTGGCTTGTTGTCCGGGGCCACATACTTTGAAGGGCCTGGGCCCAAGTTCTGATGCCGAGTCGCGAGCGACAAGGGGACTAGGATCCTACTGATTCGGGGAGCATCTCTATCTTACCGGGTACAACCCCCCCCCAAACAAAAGAGACAGAACAAACACTTCAGCCTGAAAGCTGAGTAAGGCTACATAAGGCGTGGAGCGGTTGGAGCGGTGGTTTGTGAGACCACGGAATGCACCGGAATGCAGTGGTGCGGTGGTAGCTAAAGTCGAAACATTGTTGATTGTTTGCCAGAATTCATGACACACTGTTGCAGTTCCGATTTGCCCCCTTGTATGGACAAAAAAGCTGCTTCAGTTTGGAAGGGAATGCATCTTGTAGAGAGGTGTATATGCTGTTTGGGCATGTGGGCTGGGTCCCGCCCAGATTCAGCCTGACGTACAGGAGTTGCAGCACACGAGAACTTTGGGCTGTTTATGTCCACAGCACTCCCAGAACCTAAGACTCTTGTAATTAAGTGGTTTTAGACAAGGGTTGTGTGTGTGTGTGTGTTCCGTAAACGTGGTTTTGTTTGTGTCGGATGGGAGAATCGCTAGAATGGCTAGTATTGGTGTGCTTCGTAAAATAATCGCTAGTGTAGTAGTGGCGTAGAAATGGCATATGCTTTCGTATCAGTGGCGTTTCAGAGCTTCCTGGCTACATTTTTGTAATATCAGAGGACCTCCCCTAAGGGGAAAAGGATGAGTGGCTTTCCGCAGCAGAAGGCTCGTTGAAGAGAATGGGCTTGTCAGGTTCCATTCGGATGGCTGAGGTATTTGGGCCTTCCGGTTTGCAACGTACTCAACTCCTTCCAGATCAACTTGCAGCAGGCCGACGATTGGTTTCGCTCGCGATGCATCGGGCTCAAGCACGTGTTCTGGAGGTGCCCCCAATAAACGCTGCTTATGTACACAATCCCTGTCCTACCTGCGAATGTTGTGTTTGCATTGTTGAGTCCCAGCATACGTAGCTGAGGCGTTAGAGTGAAGGTCTGTTTCTGTTGGGGGCGGGTTGCTTACATCAATGGTATCATGTTTGTTTCTTGTTTGCCGCCTTGATTTGTTCTCAGAGAATTATTGGGTTCTATGGCATTCACGGGGGATCCGTGGCCTTGCTAGCCCTTTGATACGAGCATTCTGTGCGGGGCAGTGGAGACAGCTTGGAGTTTTGGTGTTTTTGAAGCAACCAAAATAAAACTGGCCGTGGTCCTGCTTCAGCCCACTTCGAACGTTTCTCGGCCGGATTGCCAGCGCAGAGTGGCGATTGTTGCTTTGATGCCCGGCACCGATTGTTCGTGTTGTTGCTGCAAATAGTCTACGAAGAGGAATGGAGAACGTTCCCCTTTGGCAGGATTGTTTGTGGGAGCCTGCCGTTTCGGTAGGAGGGCGGGTATCCGGTGGCCAGTCTAGCGCGAACCCAACCATGAGCGAATTTGTTTGGTTGGCATCGGACAGATGCAGTATCTGACTTAAAAGGCTTTCCACCGAAATGGCTAGAAGCACACTGGAGTTCCACCAGAGCCAAGATGATCATGAAGCTCATAGGGTTTCTAGTCTCGACGTTTTTTTTTCAAGGTACGTTGTTTGAAAGGGAAGCCTTACTAAAGGGAAGCTAACGGTACTGTTGGTGCTCCTTCAAAAGCACAACCGCATGGTCAGGACCTCAAAAAAGCTCAAAACCACGAAGCCGTGGCCACCGTTTTGACATCAGATGGTGAACCTGGTGGCCGTGCTGCCGTTGCTGGCTGGGGCCCGAGAAGGTCGGCCAAGCGATTTGTTTTGCCTCGCGCCTTGGCATTCCGCGCCTCATGGAATGCAGTTCTGACTTCGTTGCGTTTTGCCAAGGGATGTTAGGACTGAGAAACTTTGTGCCAACTCATGGGTTTTCCGTATTAAACCACTATAAAAGTTAAACTTTTAGCAGGAGAGCAGAAAGCAACCGAGCTGATACATCAGGGATCCTGAGGCTTTCTTGTCGGAGCTGTGGTTTTCAACATCTTTCTAAAACCCGTCGAGACGAGTTTCCTGGCGGTGCGACGTTTCAAGAGCACATGAACGTAGGCTTGTATACGTGGGCGCTGCTTAACAAATGGTGTTCAAAGAAGAAACAAGTGGAATCCATGACTGACCCGACATGAAGAACTGAATAATGGTGACAACTGATTAGTAAACCTCCCCCCCTCCCCCCCTCCCCTTCAAGGTCGACAAGGTTTGGACAAGTCCAAAAAATTGAGATTTTTGGGAGGACCCCCCTGATTACTCTGGAGCCCCTTCAGTCCTCGTCCTCTTACTTCTGGTCCCTTCGGGGCAGTAGGACTTTAAAAGGCAACAGCACATTTTTTGGTTTTGAGCCCATTAATCGCGGGGGGTTTCCTCTTAATGAGGGGGGACTGGCCTCCACGGGGTGTCCCCTTTGTGAGCTTGAAAACCTTGTCATTTTAAACAAATTTGAATAAAGAAAAATGCTTTTCGGGGGAAGCACATTTTTGGGAAAAACTTGAGGGGTTCAATAGTGACTTAGTATTGGTGGGTTTAAGCACAGACTAAGCAAATACTAAGCAAGAAGGAAAGCACCTTTCTGGCAGGTATTTGTTGGCTTGGGGGCTGCAGAGGGATACCTTTAATCAGGGGGGGTTTTGGGGAGGGCCCAAAAATAATTGGGTAGGGTTTTTTGGGGAAACCTTGTTGGCAGTTTACTTCAGTATTGGTGAGAATCTGGGGGGGAAAAGGGGGAACCTTTAATCGGGGGGGGGGTTTACTAATCGTCGCCTGACATTAGCAAGCAACAATGGAATATGAGATGGACGTTGGGCGGAACTCGGTGTTCAATCTTTGCATATACAAGTATACACATATATACATCACTACAGATATGTGTATATATATATATATATATATGTATAAATACATATGCATGCATACATACATACATACATACATACATACATGCATTCATGCATGCATGCATACCTATAGACCTACATATATATACCTACATACCTAAATTCCTACATACCTACATGCCTACATGCCTACATGCCTACATACCTACATACTTACATACATATGTGCTTACATACATATGTGCTTGCATACATATGTGCATATACATGCATACACATTTTATGTATGTGTTCAGACACTCGAATGTTTGGGGGAACAAGTGTCCGCAATTTGGTGGCTCGACGTCGCGTGCAGCAGCCAGCTCGTGCTGTAGTCCTTTTGAGGACCCAGTTCGACTTTGGTTTATGCCAGAAGGGTGCCAACACCAAAAGAAGACAAATATGCATATATATATATATACCTAGATCTTCCGGGGTCGCCGAATTTCTGCCCCGGGACTTGGGCTCAAAATTTTTGCCCCTAAAACGAAAAACAGCCCCGGACCAAAAAAACTGCCCCTTGCCTTCGGCTCCGACTCGTCGAGCTCTCTTACGCAGCCGCGCACAGCGGACATCATGGTTACAAATGAGCTAAGTTGAATCCAACACAAACCATATATGCAAATAACAGAGTCCCCCTGTAAAAACTCTAGGTCATTAAGAGGGAACGTTCTCGGTGTTGCCCAAGCTTTGGTTCTGGCTGAGAAGTTGCAGAAACAAGGGTCGATTGAATTTGGCGAGCACCCTTTACATAGCCACCCTATCATTCAACAAGCATTCCCCAGCATGACTTTCCAGCAATCATTGTTTAGGGTTGCCTGGTTGCCTGTGTCATGGCACTGGCGAGCAGCTGTGCGCCAGAGCCCCAGCGCCGGTACTTGTTTTCATCTCGGGCTGCCACGCTGTTTCTTCCACCGTTTCATTACAAATTTGGCTTTTACAAGGTAGGCCTGCACTAGGTTTTCATTGACCCTGCGAAAGCCAACTCTTCTTGATTGGCGGGCAATTCGCCCCACAAAGTCCTCATTCGTGCTGCAATCAAATAGGCCTGGGTTAAGAGTGAAGGGAGCTGAAGATTCCAAAGCCTCATCAAAATCTGAACGAAAATGGTCAAAGGCATGGGCCTTTGGCACCATTCCATAAAGCATCTCACCACGCTGGAGGGCTCTGTCAGCCAACGTGGCGTATGCTGCCGAAAAGTCTCTGCAAGCTTTTCGGAGCCTTGAGACGCACGGGGGATGAATCCAGATACCATGACGATGAATTGCTTGGAACTCAAGCCCTCCTATGACACCTCGAAGCATTGTTTTCAGCATAGTGACTTTTGAGGCATCGCTTTGGTTCAGAAGCTGCAGCCGCAAAAAAAACCGGAGCCACCGGAAGATCAATATAGTGTCCGATCCCTTGCAGCCCATCCATGGAAACCCCCGCAATGCAGTTTGTCAGGGGTAAAGGACCTGATGGACGGGACGCAGCCTTCAGCTTCAGCCCAAAGTTTGAAATGGTTCCACGCAATGCCCAAGAGGTGCTTGAGGGAGTTGTCGGGATCACCCGGGTTGCTAAAGAACTCTTCATTGATCAACTCAAGGATGATGGAGGCAAGGTAATTGCGAGCAACCCCCAGCCGGAACACATGGAAAGGGTCTCTTCTGAAAAAGCGGGCTGCTGGCCCAGAGTCCCAACTCTCGAACTCCAAGCTTGTAAATGGCGGTGCCCCTGCCCATGGCACAGATTGGTACTTGGTTGCCTGCCAGCCAGCTTTGTCACGAAAGTCCTCGAAAGGGACCCCCGGAGCTCCAGCCATACACTCATGACAGCATGGAATATTGTTCGCCGTTCCCACATTCATGTAGGACCTTTTCAATACCCCCGACTTTGCGTGAAACTCCATGTCTGCTTTGAAACCCACACAGGAAAAATAGTAGGTTCCGGTTGGAGAACTCACGCCCTGCTGACACGCTAAGCTTAGGTTTTCCGCCGCCTCTTTCAGAAACGCGTTGAGCAGGCCGGGAAACTTCGCGCCGTACTGCTTGCTCGGGTAGGCAAACACCAGAAATCTAGAGAGGTAGCTATGAAGCTTGTGATTCAGCTGCTGGACTTCCAACTTGCCCATAAATTCGCTTCTTGCTCGCTTTGCAGGAGGGCAGCAAACGCAAGAGGACCTCTTCCGCTGGTAGCTGCTCAACCCCAACGCCGCTTCCAGAGAAACTATTTCTATGGGCTGCTTTTTCTGGGTGCGGCCGCCATCCCCGTGCAATAGCACGGGCACCGTCCGCGATAGCCGTTCAGCATTTGCGGAAGCAAACAGTTCGTGGCCAGGGTGCACTTTCTGGTAGGCCTGCCAAAAAGTGAGGAGGAGATTGCCAGCATCTTCTCCAGGGTCGAAGCCTCCTAGAAGCAACTCAGGAAAATCCGTCATCAAAACGGTGAGAATCTCCACGGGCTTCAGCCACGGAAACAGTACCGATGTTGAATTTTCAGTGTGGAGAAACTGCGAAGAGGGTATGCGCAAGGCAAAGGCAAATTTGGTGACTGCTCGCCGGTATGCCCGGGACGCGTTGGAGATGGAGCCGGCGGTTTCTGCCGCTGGACCCGAAACCTCCAAACGCCCCAACTTCACTTCCTCCTGCAAGGCGTTGCCGTGCGAGGTCAACGATTTCGCTGGAGCCTCAGATGCGGGCTGGGAGAAAGGAGTATGTACACGTGCTGGGCCCCCCGCCCCTTCGGCAATTTGCTCCACCACGTGTGACAACAAGGGGCCAGGCTCCTCTGTACCTGGCCGAGGGTTTGCAGGCCGACCCTTTGTTCTATCAGCTGGGCGCGTGCAGGGGGGGCACGCAGGCTTTTTCCCCCAATGCCAGCTCCGTGGCTTTGTACGCTGCACGCCCAAAATTAGCGCTCCGACTTTACATTCACAACAGTGTCGTCCTCCTTGCGTTTTTTCAGTTGCTTCTTGATGAACGCCAGGAAGGGCCTCAAACAAATCGGCAAAAGGGCTCTGGCGGGAAACCTCGCATATCAATATGTTTAGACAGCGGGCAGCCCTCGGAAACTTCAAACCCCAGGACGCTAGCAAGTCTGCTCTGAGGAGGCTTGCTGGAAAGGGGTTAAAGTGAACCGTAGTTTCAGCTTTTTGGGAAGGACGCCAAAGAAACCTGGTTTCAAACTCTTCCCAAAAGGGGGGCAGCAGATCACCCGCTCTTTTTGGGGCTACATGGCAGCTGTCTAACGTGACTCCAAGGTTCTGCAAGACTGCTCATCCCAATCCCTTTTGTTTCTCGGCTTCGGTCCATTCTTGGGTTCCCCCAATTATTAGTGGCAACCCCAAAGGTCATCATCATTTATTCCCAACTCTCTGACGGGGCAATTGAAGAAACAAAGCACCACCCAAAAGTTGTGCATGGCCTAACTGAAACCAACTGGAAATATTTCTTCAGGTCCCTGAATTGGTGGTTTGGATTTTTGGCGTGGGGATTCGAACTCTTGGTTGTTGTAGAGGGTAGATGACGAACCACACCCAAACTGCCAAACCACCAATCCAACCCACCAATCCCAGTAAGAACCCAGTTACCCATATAGTACGTTAGCAGCAAGTAGAACCCATGTAGTTTGGTTTTAAAAGGGTGGCAACCAGGCAATTGCATCCACTAAGAATTGCTGAAACTGGAAACATTTCCCGGGGTCCGGGCAACAAATCGCCCCAATCTCTCGCAGGTTAGAGGCCCTTGTTCGGCGCAGTGTGCTCACAGGCGCTCGGGACGGTCGTCTTTTTTTTGGGGCAACCGCAACCGTTTCTGGTTGAATGTTATACAGGAAGTCAAAGGGAGTTCCCGCATTTAGGGGCAAAACCAAAAATAGTTCT